TATTCATAACGCTCGCGGAGATAACAAGGAATGGATTATGCAAGATATTGTAAAGAAGATGGACATTCAATCGAAAACGTGAAGGTAACCATTTCAATTCTTTTCGATATTTGGAGACATGATCAAACTTACGCAAACCATAAACGAAACGAATGCATAAATTTTGTAGACGGTCAATTTTAGAAAATAACTCTGAAGTGGCGTCAAGAAAACATACATCCGCATAATCCATAAGGGGAAATAATAATGTTTGGGCTAAATTGACCTTTGTTTTAATAGGTAGAAAATTTTGTAGACGTCTGAGTGAGTGAACAGTCGCATGTACTTTTTTACTTATCTGGTTTACGTGAGACGTCCAGGAAAGATTTCTGTCAAAAAGTACGCCCAGATTTTTAACGACATTTGTATATGATATTATTGTCCCCTCATACACCACAGGTCATACGATGTCATGTATCTGCTTCCGATAATAATAACTTGTGATTTTGTTGGATTCACTAATAGACCATATGCATTTGCCCATCTTGAAATGTTTACCAGATCATGATTAATCAAGTCTATAGCAGTACCGATATCACAAATGTCAAAAAAACTGTACAGCAAGTCATCTGCGTATAGATGGAAGTAGGATGAAAAACGTCCTGCCAAGGAATTAATGAAAATAGAAAATAGAAGTGGTGACAGGACGCCACCCTGTGGAACGCCGGCAACAAGACCACACCAGTCGGAGCTGGTTTCATCCGACCGAACACACTGCATACGCCCCACAAGATAAGAATTATTATACCAGGGGAGATATATTAAGTGAGTCAAGGATACCGAGAATATCAAATAATTAAAGGCACTACTAAAGTCGAGTAAAGTGAGAATACATAGCTGTCTGTGCAGTGACAGTACTGTGAGCTGTACGAAACCCAGACTGAAAAGAAAGGAGTTTATTTTTAAAAAGATAAGATGACAATTGATCATAAACTAGATTTTCAAGTACTTTAGATAGAACAGGTAAGATAGAAATAGGACGATACTCGGAAAGGTACGTGGGAAATTAACGTAGGCTTTTTTCAGGCAGCAGGAAACGAACCTGTTTCCAAAGAATAATTTAAGATGTGAGAAAGAATCGGTGCAAGCTCATCTAAGAGAAGACGAAGCATCTGAATACAGATTTTGTCATCACCAACTGCTTTGGAAGTAATTGACAAGATTGATTTTTTAATATCACACGTAAGCTAGGAAAGAAAATGGTTTACAATTGGGTTTAGGCAAGTTTTTGAGTTCTCCAAGTAGTCTTTTTAATATGGTCCTCCATAATTACCGGAGGCGTCGAAAAATGACTATTCAATGCGTTGCTATCTAAATTAACTGGACACGAGTTTAAACATTTATTGTTCTTAGGAGTAGAGTTGAGCTGGCTTGAGACTTTCAGCTGAAGCATCTCTGCATCGATTACTTCGGTTTCGCAACCTCTTATATTTATTTAAATTTTCGATGGAGTGATTCTTTTTATACCTACGTTTAGCCTTCACGTTTTGCCATTATATTGCGTATGTTTTGTGACAACCACGAGAATTATAGGAGCATGTTTATCGAACAGATTATTTAACGTTTGATTAAGATATGTGACTTTTTCATCAATATTATTTAAATCATAAAGTATGAACCAATCAATCCTGCCAAAATCACTCCGTAATTTCTCCGAATCAATTTCCCTAAAATTTCGAAGCTCAAGAAATTTTACTCTCGGCTTAGGCATACGAATTTTGTAGGACAGATAGATTAGATCATGTTAGTGTCATGTTACTGTGGTCTGTTTCAATAGAATTCAATTAAAAGATTACAAAGTTTTGTTGAAATTATCACAGAAACACTCTTGAAATAAAATTACAAGCGTGTCACGTGTAGCTTCTATTATTACTAAAGATATTACAACTTAGAATATAAATTTAATTCTATAGTCTGTTTCAATAGAATTTAGTAAAATGGTTACAAAGTTTTCTTGAAATTTTAACAGAAATACTCTTGAAATTATAAGTATATCAGTTGTAAGTTTATATGTTATTAATACGAGTATATTATAACACAGAATATAAATATAATGCTACAGGTTGTTTCCATACAATTTATTGAAATTGTAACCAAGTGTAAGTTCAATTGTTACTAAATATATTATAACACAGAATATAAATATAATGCTACAGGTTGTTTCCATACAATTTATTGAAATGGTAACCAAGTGTAAGTTCAATTGTTACTAAATATATTATAACACAGAATATAAATAAAATGCTACAGGTTGTTTCCATACAATTTATTGAAATGGTAACCAAGTGTAAGTTCAATTGTTATTAAATATATTATAACACAGAATATAAATATAATGCTACAGGTTGTTTCCATACAATTTAATGAAATGGTAACCAAATGTAAGTTCAATTGTTACTAAATATATTATAACACAGAATATAAATATAATGCTACAGGTTGTTTCCATACAATTTAATGAAATGGTAACCAAATGTAAGTTCAATTGTTACTAAATATATTATAACACAGAATATAAATATAATGCTACAGGTTGTTTCCATACAATTTAATAAAATGGTAACCAAGTGTAAGTTCAATTGTAACTAAATATATTATAACACAGAATATAAATATAATGTTATAGGTTATTTCAATAGAATTTAATGAAATGGTAATCAAGTACAAGTTCAATTGTTACTAAATATATTATAACACACAATATAAATATAATGCTACAGGTTATTTCCATACAATTTAATGAAATGGTAACCAAATGTAAGTTCAATTGTTACTAAATATATTATAACACGGAATACAAATATAATGCTATAGGTTATTTCAATAGAATTTAATGTTTAAGCAATCAACGTAATAAAACATTCAATTAAATACTTTATTTTTATTAGAACTACTGTTGGGCATTTTTAGACTGTTTTATGATTATGTCATATATTCGTTTGTTTACATTTTCTATAAGAATTATTGAAAAATATTATACATAAACAAAGTCGCAGTGTAAAGTTAGATCATGCAAGGCCACGGAACAAAACTGGTAGTTCGTATTTTATACTTTTAATTACTCGACTGTACAGATGCGTATAAAATTTGGAGTGCGCCGGCGCCGGCTGCGTGCGAAATGGAAAGTGTACCGCGGCCTACTTGTGATTGGGCTATTGCGTAACACCATCGATGCACTGCTGCACCGCTTGTTGATCTTCACGCTTTTTCCACAATTAGGTGGAGTGACAGTAGTAAGATAGTTGTAATATTGCGTTAATGTTGAACCTAGCTCCTATGACAACCCAGGAAGGAGTTTCTTGCTGCTACTATACAGGAGGACCTGATCATAAACAATGCATTTTTTTGGAGGATTAAAGGTTGGAAGAAGATAAAGACGAATAAGAAGTTAGTTGACACAGAGCGTTTTTTTTTAAACAGTGAATATAGAATGGTAATTCCGCCTGCGCTGTTGGTATACGCTGGTGGGGTACCAGTGACAGATAATAGGTGAGGATGAAAGCAGATCAGTTAGCCCATCGCGACAAATTCAACAAGAATTAACTACGATAGTGTCCATGAGGAAATGAGTGGAGGTCAACCTGATTATATTGCACAATAATATGGTGAGATGGTAGTAGGAATATTGTGGGTTAGCAGTAGTAACGGCACGGGATAGCAGCGTGCAATGTTACGGACCGGCACTGCTGATTCTGAAGAAACATCTGTAACCCTTTTTTTGAAAAACCAAATGCTGCAGTCTTTCAGGAAAACCTTGACAGAGAGCATCTATTGAAGAATATTTGATACTGGAGAATCTATTCGAAAATATCCGCCATATGGTCCCGACATAGAATAGGCCACCCTTTACTTTCCCATTGGTGTCGTAAGAGGAGCTTGTTTTTACAACATAGGGGGTAAATTAGCTTGCAGCTTACTTGATGGTAAGTGACTACCGCCGCCTATGATCATCCACAACACCAAATGGGACGGGACGGCAAGGGATGAACACCAATGTCCCTCTTAAATATATCCAAAGCCTAACTCCAGTTCCCAAACCGCTTGTCAAGTGTGGCAACTATAGGCAAAACTCGCTAAAGAGGAGGCTTATGTTTAACAGTGGACAGTTAAAGGCTGATACTCATATGATGTTTCGACAATAATTACACTATTAAAGTTTAGCGATCGCGTTTATGTCTTTAACATGTAAGAGCTTGCACCATTGAATGGTTCACATCATAGCTACAGAATCCCATTAATTAAAAACAACTTAGCAGCTTGCTACACTTGTTACAAATTGTCCACATTGTGTGACTATCGTGGGTGTACACAATGCTTTATATTTATAATGATTTGGCTACTTGTTGCAAAATAATTATAAACATATTTTCAAGCGATTTTAAAAAGTAGATGGTTTTCAATTCAATAAAATGATGAAATATGTTACGGTATATTTTTGTCGATTTTAATGATTAATTTTTTTATCGATAGAGTCTATTTCCGTGTTAGTTCATTTAATAATTTTGTCACGATTAAAGTAGTCTTTTTTTTGCGGAATTATCAAGTATAAGATGTAGGTATGTAATCATAAACAAATGTTAAAAACAATCTGTGTGAATTATTGGAACTTATCACATGAATGTTACTTAATATCTTTGTAAGTAAATATTCCGAACCTTGACATTTGAGTTACTTCCGTAACCCTTACAGTTTTGGCACTTACACACAGATTCAATTTAGATAAAATATCATAATTTGACAGTGTGATATATTAACCATAAGCTTTGGCTATTTCGAGCAATAATATCGAATGGGCGTATTGTGCATACCTCGAAGGAGTCACGCGAACTATTTCACCCCACAGGGTATCCTTGTGAACGCTATCAATCCATGACATTTCGCTCACTTCCGTAACCCTTAAGCCTTCGCCCCACCACCGGCGCGCGCGCACCGATCGCCAAGAGTTGCAGCGCTCACTCCCGCGCACGCGCGCTGAGCTTACGCGCGTACTCAGTGTATCATGCTTCGGTGGTGAAGTGTCTGTGCTGTGTTGCAAAGACCGTGTTCTGTGCTACAATATGAGGTCGATTTGCGCCGCGGCGCTGCTCGCACTTGCGGCTATTACAGGTAATAATTGTGGGATACTCTCGTTTAGAGGATAAGGTGCGGTGATTTTTTTAGGGTGTTCGTAAATAGTATGGTGTTGAAAATGCATATTAGAAATATATATAAGGGATGTTATTATTATTTTTGAGTTAAAAATTGTAAGTATATATATATATTTCTTTTATTTTTCTATTTTATAGGAAACATTAATAATATAAACATTACCTTATTATAGATGATTTATATATAAGAAAATAAAAGTAATAATAATAAAAATAAGAAATAATAAAAAAAAAAAACTTTTTCATTACAACGACTAATTAAATATTTTGACTTATCCAAACCAAGTTTTCGTTTACGTAATTTAATGTACAATCATATAACCATAAGACTTATTTTATTGCGGCATTGACAAATATCATTATTTTAATTACCATCATTATCAGCTATTTAAGGTCCACTGTTGAATGTGGATCTCTCCAAATAAATTTAAATATAAATATATTACGCATCTTTTTGCATCTATTATAAGATTTCACAATCATTATTTAAACGATTAGAATAAAAAAAAAAAAAACAAAAAATGACAAGGTTTCATTCAAATTAGTAAAGTGTTTAATAAATGACGTCGCGCTAAAACGTAACCTATGTATGTGTGATGAAAGAGAATCGATACAAAAATAAACAGTATAATACTTTCGCTTTATTCATTAAAAGGCTTACGACTCATTTGGTATTTAAATCATGTCTCCTTCCTTTAACTTTCAATTTCGCTCGGCCCATTTCAAATCCTAAGTAAAGAATGTAAACACGCACTGAAACTGTCAACAAAGTGGACTAATTATAAAATGACTACTTGAAAGTAGGATACCTGTCGTTACAGTTATTTCACGTTAAATAATAGACGTATTAATGTAATTTATAACCATTAAATAAAGATAAATACTTTCCAATTACGTATCAGTTTAGTTTATATTATCTAGTCAGCTACTTTCGTTCTCAAAGCAGTAGTGTTTCATTCAGAACAGGCATGGGAAACACCAACAAAAACCGAGGCCGCACTACTGTTTTCTTGAGCAATGCGCAGTCAAAAGTATTTAGAAAAAGCGTGTTAATAACAGTCATACATAATATGACATGCTCGTGTTTCTGTACTGAACTTTTCGTGTTTTTGATTAATTGTAGCAAAGCACGTAGGTATGTAATATAATAAATATGTTGATGGTATTTTTTACAAATTTGTAGGATGATATTGAATAGAATTTAGCGGTGTTGTCTATTAGAATAGAAAAGATTATTAAATATACTTTGTACAAAAGTCGTTTGCTTTTGGGTACCTCTGTTTTTCAACCGTGAAGCAGTTGTGTTTGCATGGCTGTGTTTCGTTTATTAGAATGGAAAAGATTATTAAATATATCAAAAAGAAAATATATTATTATTATTTTAGCTAACAATTTCATATTTTAATGAATGAAAAAATGAGTACATTGTTAAATAAATATAATACAGAAATAAATATATAATAAATGTTCATAATCGTAATTCTAAACGGAGTAAATAGTGGTAATTTGTCTTTTATCGTTCTTGTTCTCGACTTACCCATGTTAGATTACGGTTCAATTAGGGTTCATGTAAATGTTCGCTATCGTCGTAGAAATGTCGGTAAAGTCAAAACATCACACAAATTGGTTTCGAATACATAATTTTTTAATTTGATAAGTGAGAATAATAAGCAACTAGACCTCGATGTTCTTAATTCTTGTAATAAAAACTTGTCACCCCGGTATCTTAAAATCTATTATTTTAATATCACTCTAATGCATCAACTCATTATAATTGATACACGTGAACGAACCCGAAGTCATTAGCTAGTTCCGAATTGTGAATGCGATTGCAACAGCGTAATTAGAGGCGATTTTTGCAATCTCCGCTTTGTTTTTGTGTCGCACGGTGGCCGCATGCGCGACTGCCGTATCGTAAATCGCCCGTAACGCCGCCGCCACCGTGCGGTGAAAATCACTAAATCATTTCCCCTTCGCACAAAAATTTAACTTTTAGGAGCGCTCGTGATCGAAATTTACTAAACGACTTATATATAAAATCTAATAGTCTATTTTTTAGCCGCGTTTTAAGGTCTCTCAATATATCTAAATATTATATTTTTGAGTAAATAATTCTTATCTATTTATTTTACGCGTTGCCGGTAGATCAGCGGGTTCTCTATGTAATCTATGGGTATTGTTTACGTCACCCAAGAAAAGTATGTAATAATCAATAGTATATATAATATTCTATACTCGTACATTGATCGATAGCCTCTAGTATTTTAAAAAATAAAAGAAAAAATAATGCTATTTTTTGTTAACATAACTTAGGAACGGTTAAACAGATTCAGTTAGTAGAGAGATAGGTAGATAAACTTTTTATCTGCATTAAGACATTTACAAAATAATTGACAATTGTAACAAAAAATAAATAAATAAACAGTATTAAACAAAAGGACCAATATATATACAAAGTAATATTCCTTACAATACATTAATATTTGATCATAGGTATGTTTATTGAGGTTTAACGACAACAATAGATCATTCAAAACACGAACAAAACGACTAGGCTGTACACTCTATGTTTTTATCGTAAGTTTAAAAAAAAAATGTAAGAATGGTAATTATTTTGCATTGTATTATACAACAATAATAATTTGATACCGCTCTTTGCATTTCGGTATACATAATTTAATAGTACAGCATTAATAATATTGTATGTACTTATGTAATACAAATTTGTTACGTGATAGCGTTTTGTGTGATTCGTGTGGGTTGATACCGTTTATTTATCTATTCAGAATAGCCACGCCTACAACATATGCATCTGCAGATGTTGTCTTGCAGTTTACGAGGTCCATTTTTTCTTATCTGAATAAAAATTGTTCTATCTCTCAAATTGGAGCAAACAATATATATTTACGAAATTTCATTAAAATCTATTCAGCGGTTTTGGAGATTGGTGTGAAACAAACATCGTGATTTTTATATATTAAGATGTAGTTAAAGTTCGACAAAGACGATGGACATATTGCCCGAGAACAATTTTTATATATTTTTTTCTAATCCAGTTACAAATAAACCTAACTTTCTTTTCTAGAAATGTAACAATAAAATTATTAAAAAAAAATTGGTATTATTCCTGATTAGATAAAGGGATAAAAAATATTATGCAAACAAAAAAAAGGAATTATTAATTTATGATATTAAAAAAAGTAGAAAGTGTTTATTGAGGGGTCCAATATTATCTAACAGATTCAAAAATCAAAGTTAAAAAGATTTTCTTTTTTACTTCGATTTTCTTGTGGTTGTTATATTTCGAATATAACGCGATATTTTATTACGTTTATTGAATCAGTTTTTTTTTGTGGATTAAAATTTTTAACAGTGTAATTGACAAGTTTCCCTTAAATAGAAAAGAATTATAAGAAAATAGTTATCATTTCTGATTGTGAAACATTTGGTAAGAGCAAGAAATACCATTACTGGCGCATGCGCATAACATGGTCATAATGTTGCAATAATGCATAAGATAAAATCTATGCATTCATTCACCTTGAGTGAATGTACGGTGAACTTCATGCATCGGTTTAACAGCGTGTCGAATTATTTATGTATTAATATATTTATAAAATATATTTGTCATATTAATATAATAATATTAGCATACAAATAGGTTTATAATTATATATAAACTTTGATGCAACTTATGTGCTGTATATTTATTATATACATGCATGCATATTATGATGGAAAATGTCTTATGGCTTTTTTTGGCTTTTACCATTATTAGATTTGTTAAGGGAAGATTAAATTTATTTATTTATTAAACTTTAATATACCTAGAAAGTATATAAATATACCAGAGGGAGACTGAACAAAAGTCGTTTGCTTGGGTACCTCTGTCCCATTCGTGTTTCTACCGTGAAGCAGGTGTGTTTGCATGGCTGTGTTTCAGTTTGAAGGGTAAAATATGGCAGTGAATTTACAGGGTACTGAGTCCTCAGGAATGGCAACGCATGGGGCGTATCATGGACGAAACAGTATACTCTGTTATGTCCATGGTACTGCTCATGTCTATAGGCGACGGTTACCATTTTCCATCAGGTGTGCCGTCAGCTTAATGCGTCATTTTAAGTTGTATAAAAAAAAGTGTAAATGGCGGACTTAATACCATTTAATATTATATACCCGTCAACCGTAGACAGGAATAACTGAAAATGTATTTGACAGTACAACGTAATGAACAATATTAAATTAAAACAGTAATTTAAAAATAACATATGTACATACAGAATTTAATATTAAAAAAAATCAACACGAAATAAATACTTTCCATTAGAAGAAGAAAAATGTTATTTATTGGTCATACATAAAAACAAACCATGGAATCTATTTACAATTGGCGAGAATAACAAGATTGATAAAAATTCTATTAAATTATTGATTAATTTTCCATATTTATCAATAACTAATATTACAAACAGGAATGTATATTGTTTTGTATGTTTGTCATGAATAAGCTCAAAAACTATTGGACTCATTTCTAAAATTCTTTCCCCATTAGAACGTTGCATTATCCCTAAGTAACATAGGCTATATTAATTACTAGAAAAAATAAGGGATCCATGCTAAAACTTTAATAATGTAACCCAGCCCATGCGAAGCTGGGACAGGCCGATATTCAATCATAATTTAGAAACTTCTAATAGTGAACATTAATCAGTAATAAGAATATTATTAAATATCGTTTAAATTTTAGAAATCGATGCTTAAAATGTATTTGGAAACTATAAAATAATAAATCTATTTATCATGTTTATTATCAATTTGTTCTATGATTAATGTTTCAGATAAATATAGAGACATTTAGATATTATTTTTAAGTAGTATCTCAAATAATATAAACTTAGAGATAATATTTGATATTAATATTTGAGTATGAAGTTCTTAAAATTTCTTACAAAAAGAAAT